GTCCTCGCGCGAGGCACGACGAAAAGTGATGAAACGCGACAGCTTGCGCCGACTCGAGATTAGAGAGATGTAGTCGATCTCGTCGGTCTCGAATGCGTTTTTTTGCGCGTGCACGCTCACGGGGTTTGTCAAGGAGTCAGCCAGTATTTGTAATAATAATGCTTGAGAAATGCATGAATATTTGTTTTATTAATGCTTCTTCTTATTTCATCTCTTTCTATGATAAAAAGAAAAGTGAAACAGAACTTCCCGAGACTCGCTAATCCCTTGTAATATTTATATTTATACATATATATATTATATATATATACTTGTGTATTATTCGATATTGCGCCCATTATTGCTCACAATCTTAGCCTCGCTTCCTGCTTCCCTTGTTTTTTAATCTCCTCTCTCATTCGGAATCTATTTGACTCAGTGCTTGTATCGTAACCACTTTCTGTTCAACTTTGTTTTAAAATTATTATTATTATTTTATTTCGATGTTATCACGCTGTTATTCGTTGTTACGATCGGCGCGACCGTCATGCCGATCGCAATTTTTTCCCGCCGGATCAGTTACACTTATGTTAATTTCGACATTTCTCCCCGCAAAGTATCCTTAATAAACGGGGTAGACCTTCACTTCGTCGCGTGCCCTTGGCGAAATTCCTGCCGTCGTTGTATCATTGCTCGTCTGCGAATCGTCTGTGGAATTAATTTTCCTACGATCTGCGACGTTTTCTCACTCGCCGAGAGCACGCGAGTTACGCCAAGCACGCGAGTCCTCTTATAAAGACCACGTAGATGTTAGCCGCTTTTACTATGGCGAACACCGTAAAAAGAGTGCCATACGACTCACGACTCGCTGCCCTCTTCTCTTCTCGTCTACTCTTTCCCCTTAATCTTCACCTTCTATGCCTCCCCGTTTCCTCACACAGCTTTTCCCGCGCTTTAGTTGCGACATTCTTGAGGCAGGAGGAGATGTATCCGGATATGTTATAAATATCTGCATCCTTCCTCTCTCCCCTGATCACACGTCCATCCCTGGCCACCTCTCGATCCTGTTATTCTATACAATCGCCACATCAAGCTCCGTTCCCCGGCAAAGATGGTTGATCGTCATCGAGAAGAAGGTCGGCGCTCTTATCGCGTTTTATCGTGCTCTCGCAAGTCGTATATTTCGAACGTGGAGTAAGAATAAATTTTGGGACGCAATATAAGTTTTTCTATTTTTTTTTTATACGTTGACTACGGTCGGTGAATCGTACCGCCATGAACGAATGAGTTTAAGGCACGCGGTTGTAGATTCGTGTTATCGTTGCCTCGATGAAATCCGAATATTATTTACGCTACGTTCGTAGTACACGGCTTCTGTATTTCCGGGAGACGATTTGGAATTTTGGCTCGAGAAAATAGAATACGAGAATTGTTCAAAATAAAAGTTATTATTCCGATATTGATATAATTAAAGCATGTGATATAACGGACTCGTTTCACTTATTGCGACCTTTTTCAATTATTCTGATATGTCCCCACTCTTCACATCGTCCTGCGTTCCTATCGCTTCCTCTCCAGCTTTCTTTGTTACTCATCGCTAAGCCTGCGTAAGATGTGCGTGTGTGCCTAATGAGCTCTTCCATAATGCTTTGGCACAATGAGCCTCTTGTAAATATAAAATCTTGACGAAAAAGCTGAAGATCATAGCTCCAAAACGTGAATCGCTTGCACACTAAGCTGTTACATGAAACTTTATTTCAGAGGCAGTTTTTATCTCATCGCGATATTGGAGTCATTGATCTTCGCAGATCGTAACGATGCTATACGCAACTGCGTGATAAGTTGAGAGGCAGTAAATGACATTTTTATCAACAATTGGTCTCTTTTATATAATATCTATTTATTGTAATTCGCAGAGGGGGAGAGAAAGAAGAGGAAAAAAGGGAGAGAAAAAAGAGAGGAAAAAAGGGACGACGCTTTAAAATAATAAAATGAAAATATTTGCATACAGTGCCGCAGAAAGCAATAGTTATATAATGTTACGGCAAGAGCTGAAAAAATAAAAATTTATCCTGTCAGTTACAGCCTCGTACTTTATCGCAGCAAAATGATTTCGCTAGCTGCTTTCTAGTCGCGCTTCGTTTGCCGCTTCCGCCACGTTCGGCGGGCAGAGCCACTTCGCAGCGAATCGCAATCGGCAAATAACGTGGGCTATCTTCTCTTTTATAATTTCGTCGGCATTATCTCGCTGCGATTACAAACGCGCGCCACACACGCGCCGATCGATTAGCGAATCGATCGAGCCTGCCGCCAAAGACAGAGCGCGGCCGTCTGAAAAAAAAAAGGGAACTCAGGATGGCCGATGCAATTTGACGAATGCAGTATGCGACTGCATAACGTATACGCGTATACGCGTCGAGTAAGCAAACGCAATTACGCAAATACGTATAAACGGAAAATTTATGGTTCCGCGCTCGCGCGCATGGAACAAATTAACTCGGGGAAACTGTGCAGTCCCATATTCACGGCGATTCGATAGTTTTGTTGCCGCCCTCTAATCCACCGGGTAACAACGAACGATCCCGCGAAATGCAAATGATGGATACGCGCGCAAAAAGTATATCTCAGCCCGATTGGTCTCTCCCGCTATTAACGGTCGAACGGCGGCGATCTAGTTACTGCTTTATTTTCTTTGTTACGCGTTGAAGCACTTTACACTCGACGGAAGAGCCGAGAGAGAAAAGCCGCGCGGTATTTCCCTCCCTCCCGCGGAAATTCTAGTAGTAGTTCTGCTGTACTGTAATACGAAGTAAGTCACCTGCTGCCGCTCCATGGCTAATAAAAAGTTATATATGTGCTTTTGTAATATAGCCATCTTCATGATCCTTTATACCAGATGTATTCGCCACTTAATAATATAATCAATATATTGCTGTCTATCTTCTTCTGCGCTAAAGAATTTGAACGCAAGCGACGCTTCTTGCATACCCGCATACCTGCGCCGAATATTAAAAACCGACATGCAGCACTCTTTCCAATGTAAGTATCGCAGTAGCACTTTATTGTATTTACATATGCAAGCTTTAGCTCCATCGTCATTTAATTGTGTACTTATTCTTATAATATATTTAATATAGACTACTTTCTTATAGAAGTGTGTTGGCACATAATCATATACTCTGTAGGAGATACGGATTTTATGTGCTTACTTCAGCATTCTGCGTCTTTTTCGTACGACATATACTTAAGTTTAATAAGTAACCCTCCTCCCTCTTTTCCTCCCCCCCCCCGATTTGCGTGCTAAGTGCATTCCCCGAGGATCAATGTGAAAATCAAATGCGCGAACGAGAATATTTGAATTCCTGAAGGGGTTGCGATATATTTCTGCGAAATGTACGGTGTATAATCTGTCTTGTATGTAATGGAATATTTCAATTAAAAATGTTCATTACGGTAATTAAACGGAGTTAAAGAGAAAACAGGAATTCGAGATCTGAGAATAAAATGGTAGAATAAATTGCAATTGGAAGAGTAATTTAATTAATAAGATTTAAAGAGATTAAACTTTCAGATTAACCCTTTCTTTATTTAGTCATCGTATTATATCTCAAGCTGGGGAAAAAATTTACATTTATTAGAAAATGAACTCCAGCTATAATATGTGTAATCAGAGATTTTTAAAAATTAAAATGAAAAAAAAGGACCAGATCAATTTTGCTCGAAGCGATTTTGATTTACACAGCTTTGAATTTGACTTTCTGGGAATGCATCGATCGCTCCAAATGGGAAGTCATCTGTATCCTATATTTGTCAGTACCTGGTCAAACTGTCACCTCGACAAAACTCGGTATAGACACTCACTATAGCGCATGCGAACACACGGTGTACTTGAAACGCAAAGCTTCATAGAGGAATGCACGAGAGCGTACTCGTTCGAAGGATTCGCTGTTCCGTGGCCAACTTTTGTCCGGAGGGCGAAGCCACGGATTGTTACATATAGAACATGTATAGTTTAATATACTATGCAAGTGCCATATATACCTTTTCATTCGTTTGCAGCGCAAGAAATGAATCGGCGTGCGCGTGCGACTTCTAACGACAGGCTCTGTACGAGACGAATGTGTGCCAGCCAAATACATATATGTATTTACACGTATATAATATACATACACACACGCCACCGGTGCATGTTAAAGCGCGATCGTTCATGGTCTCTCTTTCAACTTTCTGTTTCATGCTTGCCTTCTCGCCTGGATACCCCACCGCACGCCGTCTTTCAACCGAAAATTCATCATGTGCATACCGTTTCCGACTACCTCTCCCTGCCGACGCTTTCATCCCGACTCGACCGATGCGATCCCGACGTCCTGTGTGGGCCCACGTGGCGCCGATCCAATCCTCTAATTGATCTCCCGAAACATCCACGATCTATAACGATGGCTCCTATCCGATCCCTCGCCTCGATCGAATTACACTTATGTGGCGATTGTGTGACAACTCCCGCTCGTACCGAAAATCTTCGCGACCAACAAAAAAAATTATTAATACGCATTATTAATTAACGTTAAAAAAAAAACGAAACGCTCGTTGTCCATCCGTAATACTATCCCGTGCGATAAACGACAAATATGTAATAACAAAACGTGTACGCACGAATCGTCAATATTGTTGGTCGCACGCCACTTAAAACTCGATGCAAAATCGTCAATCATTTTTTTCGCGTTCGTTAACCAATCGTGGACGAAACTTTGGTGATGGGTTGTCGGTGCTTCTCCCCTTTTCCCTTCTCTCTTCTCTCTATTTTTTTGTTTCTCACAATCGCCGATCTCGTTTCGTTCGTTGGTGGCCACGCTGAATCGTTTGATAAATATTTGGCAAACGAATGAACGAAATAAAACTACATACGGATTCAAACATCGTCGTGCAACTCGAAAATGGGCCGTGGTGATAAAACGAAAAATATAAACGATATGATAATACCGATGAAATATATATATATATATATATATATATATATATATATATGCACGTGACGTATATACTCGTGGATGGGTGGCGGCGACCTGACACATGCGTTCTTGTTCTCCGCTTTATCACGTGCTTCGGTTCCGACTGGTTGATTGATTTTTTTCGATTTTACTTCTATCTGACCGTGCATACATCTATATGTAACCTCCCATTTTCGATATATATACACACATATATATATTATTTATAATGAATATATATTATATATATATTCTTGAAACGCTGGCTTGGTATGTGTGCACCGCCGCCGCATTATTTCGATGACCGCCCATCAAATCTCGATGCCCCCGTGGACAAAATCGGAATTAATGTCTGTGCGGTACACCCTGGTACATGCACACACATACACACACACACACACACACACACACATTTGTCGTTCATCGAATTTAAAAATGTGTATAATATTGCGCGCCCGAATACTCACCGTACATTCGCGCGCACCATACCACGCGTGGCAACCAACGCGCCGAAATTCCCTCCTCGTTTGCACGACCATGCGTGTAAACGAACTCGAAAAAAAAAAAAAATAAATAAATAAACGACGGGCGCGGCGACAAGCCGACGATTTACACTTTCGTTTTCCGTAATTTACGCTTTCATTTTTCTCGCGCTTTTTCACTCGTTCACCTCGCGTACCGGCGCGTTTATCGGGACGACGAACGGCTGCGACTGCAATTTAACCGACGACTCATCATGTTCCCTTCGTGGAGTGCTTAATTAAAAAAAAAATAATAATGATGATAACAATAATAACAATAACGCAAAATTAAATGAATGAGACACGCATAAAAAAAAATTTTGGAACTGAACGATAAAACGAATTCGATCTCACTGTCGTACATGTACCTGGATGCTCCGAGGACACGCTCCACGCGTGTCTCCTTTGATCTGGTGCCTTCTTCCACCGAATTCAACCGACTGTGGTAATGAACGACCACCAAAAAAAAAAAAAAAACTACCGATACTTGAAAAAAAAAAATACCGTACGAACACTGCCTCGTTTGCTGCATGTGGATCGCCTTAGCAGCCTTAGCCACTGTCGGGGCCCAAATGGTCCCTCAAAACGCTCACTGTGTCGTCTACACAGACAGCTGCGGACAGGTAGACTCATTATTGTAACCAGTTTTTTATCCGGTCTCGAATTTGCATCATAAGCGCCGATTCGCGTAAAACCGGATGAGAGAAGTTTTCTTCGCGTGAATACGTATATATATCTCCATGCTGGGTCCCCTCCGCTGCTCGGCATGCGATTCCCTGAAGATCGTAATAGCGAAGCCACATTTTCGCTGATTCGGGCTTCAGGGAATCCGTCATTACCTTCCTCGTTTTCGCATTGTTCTGCATAACAGTGCGCGAATGATGAATTTTGTGCGCGTTGTTACAACGTTCGTCCTATATCGTTCCTATCTAGCGCTCTCGAGCGCTGGTAGGATAATCTTCGGATTTTAAAAGTTGGAAATTACTCTGGCGCTCTGATGCAAGCTCGAACTTTAATTGCTGCTAACCTTCAAGGTTAACGAGGGAAAAGGATGTTTATCGCGGAGATATCGCTCGATGAATGAAACACACAGCTTTCCTCTTACTCATGCACTGCTTAAGGCAGCAGGAAAACGTTGACGTTTTTTTACACTTCCTTGTTCGAGGATCGAAACACCTTGTAATCCGCATCTCTCGGTAACCTTGGCTAACACGTAGCTTTCGGGGGCATCTCCCTCACGACTGCTCACCGCAACTATAACTGCGAATAACCACTGCCTTATCTGGTGTTTGTCTATTATTATTATACCAATAATTATTATTATGCTATTTCGAAAGCGTTGTCGTCACCTCCGCCCCCACCCCCTCTTGACCCGCCCCCCCCAATACATAATACGTACAGACAAACAGGCATACATATCCATACATATACGTGCACACACGAACGAACCTATATTCACGAAGAAAGAGATGCACGCTTCTTATACAGTAATTAGTATGATTAGTACTTTTGCCATTAAACGGTTTGCCATGTATCTATATATTATACATATACATATTATTATATATCTATCATGCCATTGTCTTGAACCGCTTGTCTGATTAACGTTGCGCGTTATTTGTGGATGAGGATATTGTCGGGATGTCTTTTAAACATTTCTTTGTATACGTTACGACTGAATCTAATGCTACGTCTACGAGCAACTTCCATCCTTGTACGCTTCAATATCTATTTGTTTATTTTTTTCTCTCGCAGTGCATCTTACCGCAAGTAGCAATTACGACATGGACAGCTGTTACGAGTGTCGGGCGTGTATTACTGCATGCTCATTAATATTATAATATTTTAAGGGAGCGCGTATTGAGAAACCAGAGGGCATGAAATATTGAGTTCTACACAAACTTGTCATCTTCGATGTGGAAATTATGAATCTCTCGTACTAATATTTCTTGCTAAACATAATTTTTTCTAAATTGCTTGGCTCTTAGTTGGAGCACTTTAATTTCAGAGACATTAAACATCTGTTTTTATTTAAAGATGTTAAAAATGCTTAAAAATGTCTATCAAAAAAGAGTTAAGTTATAATCTATTAAAAATCTTTTTATTAAAAATTAAATTTTGAATTCTTCCATTTAAATAATTTTTTTATATAAACTAACAATTGTATTTATATATATATATATATATATATATATAAACTAAGTTTTTGTATAAGAATTGTTCTTATATAAAATAAGAATTGTGTTACTTCATACATGCTCTATAAATTATTTTAAAATATAAAATATATAATAATTAAAATAATAAAATAATAAAACTAAAATAAATTATATATACATATTTTTTTTGTCAAAAGAATTTAAAAAATTTATTATTTTTATTTTAATATTAAGCATTTTTAGTTTTAAATAAAAGTTATCCAACAAAACCAATTACAAGAATTTTAGCAATTATTCGATTGTTTTGAAGGGATACAGTTACGCTAACTCGTATCCTCTGGTTGGTATCGCATGCATCGCGTTGATATACACACGAAATTCGCAATATATTCATCATAATTTTTCGAATTCGTCGCGCGTGTACAAGTTTATAAAATTATTCAAATTTATAATTATTCGAAATACCAAAATATTTCTAATTTTCGAAGAAATCGGTAAATTATTACTTAGCCGGAGCTGTTCGGATTTTTATTAGGCAATGACAATGGCGTGATTTACGAAACGTAAATTCAAAGGGCTGTGGAAGAGCCGGCTTTCGCGACGGAACATTGACGGAACATTGACGGATAACACTGTTCTTCCATTTAGGACGTTTATGAGTAACGCGTTTGTGCTCTTGCTTTCCGAATTAGCATACAGCTGCGAAAAGTGATGTTACCCTGCCAAAAACTCGAAGCGAACTGACGCGAGCGGAATTCGTGTAATTTAAAAAAAAGGACGGATGTGTCCCTTAATATCGATCTCGACCGATTTGAGAGTTTAAGATCTTTGTCACTGATTGACCTGGAGCAATAAAAAATACACGCAGCTTTCAGTTGAATCGCTCATTTTCCGCTTACTTTTGGTCAAAGAACGTGTCTATTACTTGCTTGCACACCGATTGCTTTCGACGCAATTAACTTCCGACCGTGAAGGCACAGAATATAGTATACATGGGCATGGAATAAAAGAAGCGCGTGCGAGCTTACGTCCGACCGTTTATTCGAACCACTCATTTCCATTTGTGACAAGGCTTTCCCCGCGCAACGGAAAACCGATCGGGTCTCTCACCGATCGCTGCGCATCTCTATATCGATTAATAGATTTCTTACCCACATTTTTGGCTAGCTCTGTCGTTATGGTTGCGGAGTCGCAGTTGACATAGTGTGTTGAACTTATTTGCAGTAGAATATTATTAATTTGACGGCTTACGACATCCCACATCCATATTATACGATATTGCCGATAACCGCTGACTATCCAATTTTTCCCCTTGCCCCTCTATCCCCCAATCCTCCCCCCCCTCTCTCGCCACTGCAGCCGCTCCCGTTCGAACTTTGGTTCGCTGGCGTGGATCACCCGGAGGACTCTTTTCTTCCGTAGCTTCCGTAGTGAGTGGATGTGTGTGTTTCGGTCCTGTAATTCACGCACGCGAACCAGAGCGACGGCGAGCCGGCTTTTGGCAGCACATTAACGCTTGGGTGATGAACACTGTATTATCATTGCTGATATACACGATCGCTCGTCGTCCAACCACTCCGTCGCGAGAGACAGAGAGAGAGAGAGAGAGAGAGAGAGAGAGAGATTTGATTCATATAATCACACTTGGTACACGGTCGACTTTACAGAGAGTAACCACCGGATGATCACCCAAGCAATGATCCCCCTTCTCCCGGGCCATTATTTGCATGACCAGACTCTGTGTTCGTAGCGAGTTATCTCTTATGCAATTGCAAGAATTGTTTATTATAATTATAATGGTTAATATTATGGTTAAACCACTTATTACTAGCGTTATTATTACGATTATTATTATACTGTTGCTATTAATGCTATTATGACTGTTATTATTCTTATTACTGTTATGTTTAAGATCTCTTTAATTTTCGTTAACTCCATTATTATCATTATTATTATTATTATTATTATTACGAGTGCGCAGGATAATCTTTTGCCGTGAGTTATATTGACGAAATAAGTTGTTATAGCGTTTACATTTTTCGTGAATACATTTTCATATATTTTGCACGCTTCTATGGTGAGCCTATGGTATACTTTCGCGCGATTATAGTTTGTTCCTTTGATTATTAATTTTTTTTTCAAATTTATTTTTTCGTATATCTGTCTGGTAGGTTGTTAATGCTTTGACCTAACGTTTTGCTAACACGAAAACCGTACTCTGGAATTTGATGTTTAATCTATTTGCTGCATTTGTCTCTTATATATATATTTCGGATATATACGAATAATTCTTCTAGATACGAGTGTACGTGTGTGTTTCCGTGTGTGTGTGTACATATAATATGCATACATCTTTTGCCGATGGATAATAAAAGGAACGGATAGTAGCTGTAGCTGGGTGGAGTTTCCGCTTCACTTGGGTTCACTTTATTCGTACTCTTTCGATAGCCAATGTTCTACTGATTCGCACTTATGTCTTTCTCTCTTCCATTTGCCATTTGTTTAATTTGTTAAATGTGGAATTATATTCGTGCCCGCGAAAAGTATTACCCGCTTACTTACGATTCGAGAAACGACTTGAACGCGAGACATTTTCTTGTTTCTCCGCCGATACTATATTATATATATACATACACACATTTATATATGTAATTATCGCTCTTATCTCGCGCGAACCGGGTTTATATTTATTACGTCGATGTCCAGCAACGTTTTCGATCGGAAACGAGAGTAACGGAGAGAAAAGAAAAGAGATCGAGGCGCAGAGAATATTTCGAACATTTCTGCCAGATCTTTCCGTTGCTTTCCCGTATTTTGTTATAACACTAAAATTTCAGTCTAGTCATTGTGCTAAAATGGCCCGCCGAGAAGAGGGCTTCCAAAACCTGATTCGCAAATTCTGTACGATATTCGCCAGCATAGGACACACATACGTGTTGCGACTTATATAATTACGCATGAAATAATGCCGAGTATATCCCGAATTAATATTCAAACGTGACAATTACTATGCTGAACATTTTAGCTGAGATCGTTGACTTTACGTAATAAATTTCCTGGAATTTTCGAAATGAAATTTGCGAATCAAATATCCTTATTCTACTTCTAGGCGCGCTCCTTGCATTACATTGTGCCCGGAATAATCACGATTAGCATAACGAAAGTGTCACACACACACACAACCGGCACGCGTTTATATAAACAATAATACGAATTCCCTTGATTCTAGCCCAAGCCAATTTTGCAAATCCCGACAAACCGTAAATGTATCCATTCGGTAGAGTTAACACGATTAGATGCAAGACTCTGTTGCAGTCGATTAGAAACTATTTTAATTTTACACCACAATATATACATACCATAATAGGAAATGTCCTGTTTGAAAACAAAAGTTCTACTGCAAATTTATCACTTAATTCGTATGTGCGAATGCTCGGCGGGGTCGTCTCTTATCCTCGTTCTTCGCTTCCGATTAATCGATCACGCGACGTAAGAAAGGTGCAGTCGCTTGAGAAATCGTACGTCTCGAATATCAGTTCGATCGCGCCGATTATTCGCACATAAGTAGCACTTAATTAATATCCATATACGAACCGGTCTTCTAGAGCATGTAATGAACCATGAATATGCTCTAACACTGAAGAATCTGAAGTGTGTGGTTGTTGTGCGAAAGATCTTGGTGATCGTAGGACTGCTTAGAAAATGTAACCAAGACACCCGATATTTTTCATTGCTAAAAACATAGGAAACGATATATCAATATGCTAAAAAGTTTAAAATAGAGAAAAAAGAAGAAGAATAACTCTATAATGTTCTTTTGCAGAACAATATAATATAATTTATTGATATTTGTAGTTTATCGACAGTACCAATGAAGCACGCAAATACAACATTTAGTGAGAATTATATTGAACGGCGCGCTGATGTACATTTCTCACTTATTCAGATTGTCCTGCATGTATAAACTAATTCTGTGATTAACAATGAGAATAAATGTATAATGTTGTAAAATATACACTGTTGCAAATCCATTTCGACACTGGAGCGAGATGGATTAAATTATCGGGTATTGGTATTTTTTGGAGCAGTCCTAAATGAGAGAGAGAACGAGAAAGAATGATATGGTGAGATACAATCGTATGCGTGTGTATATGAGAGCGAGTGACTTTTGCAAGAGCGTTATGTGACGTACTATAAGTTCTTTTTTTTTGCAAATCGTTCGCCGATCTCATCCGCTATAAGAGTATCTGGCACATTTTCTTTCAGTTACTGGACACCCTCCCGGTGTGCCAAGATTTTAATCGACAAGTGTGCAACCGTCCCGCCTGCAAGTTTATTCATCTCAGTGACGGTGAGTTATTCGTGCGTTATTGGGAAGTATCGTTATCGGGCTAATCATGTAGTTAAATGCAAAGTGCCGCCAGTTTACGTACAATGACGGAGACTATTGTGGGGAAAAAATGTTCCGTGTGTTTAAATCATAATTTGACAAGAAATATTTATTTTATAACTCATATATTTTAAGGGGATATATTGATTTTGCCGTAGTTAATTGCTTATATTTTTCTCAGATACGTTTTGTTAATCTTTGATGAGGTCTCTTGTATTCATACCTTTACCTCTTTTCGCTTTTATGTATTTTACTGACTGTGAGAGATCAATATTAAAAAAATTAAAATGCGAAATCGTACGATTACGTTTACTGCTGAATGTGCAGTGAGAATACGAGCCAATATCTCAGAGAGCACTTAACCCGTCCAATTGATATTCATCGAGCGCTTTGGTGATTTTTAAATTTCTCCTCGGTCACGCGGATTGATATTGGTAACGAGATTTCCGGTAAAATCGGCAGTTTAGGTAAAGGTAAACGTATCCCGAGCGACGGCAGAAATTTAGCTATTGAAATTCCTGCGAGAACTATCCCGCGTCAAGCAGCGGGCACACCAGCGAAGTGTGTGACCTTGTCTTTCGTTCGCGCCCCGATCGATTCCCCGCGAACTTGTCAATTGTCAAACGTACGAGACGCGTCGCAATTACGTACAATAAATCATTCGCGGTTTTATCGGGCTTGAAAGAGCCCGATTGTCGTTTCGCGACTTTTATTCTCTTTACTTCCGCTCTGCGATGTCGTCGTCGTTGCCGCCGTTGTCGTCGTCGACGGTGTCGATCGCCTTCATTATCCTTCGTATTATTATACATGCCATCGTTACGGCACGGCTCGCTTTCACGTTTAGCACGTGAATGATCTTTGCGGATGTAATGAGAATCTCCCCCTTTGTCAGGCAGCTCGTGTCAATTAGATCCTATTCGCGATAATGAGCAACCAATGTTACTCAAGATGTGAACGGGGAAGCGCTTCTCGTCACAGCTCTCCAAACAATTAGCGATACTTTTTGCACAATCAATTGCGGACAATATACACTTGAATAACGAGCGTTATTTCTATCGTAGCAAATTTGCATCAATTCGTTTGATGCCGTTGAACGGTTGAGAATATTTATGCGTTGCGCGCTCTCATACCCGATGAATATTGCAATCAATGTCAAGCGCTTTTTTAAAGCCTTTCGCTGGATATTAAATAGCTTATACCGTTATTACGAATTGAAAAAGTTGTATGGAATAGAATCTTTTTCATCCATTGTATTTACATTTAAATATGTTTACATATATGTAAATATAAACTTCTTAAATATAATAATTCTGTTGAAATAATTTTCACAATTTGGACGATAAGTTGGTTGATTTTATAATTGATTTTATATTGAAAATTAATATAAGCTTAATTGAAGAATATAATTTAATTTTTATATTTGTAACTCAAAAAAATATTGGTATCTCGATCTTGGAACATAATTTTTGACACTGTAGTCTCTGCGAGCGTGAAAAAAACCAGGGGGCAGTTTTTGAATCAACCGAATAATCCGATCTCTTTGATGAATTTTCAGGAAACGTGGAGGTGATTGAGAACCGCGTAACGGTGTGCAGGGACGCAGTGAAGGGCGCGTGCATGCGACCTCAGTGTAAATATTACCACATACCGATCGCGTTGCCGCCGGCACCTCTGATGGCGATCGCATCGTCCGCTTTCGCCAGCGGCTAACGCGCTGGGACCGCGCGGGGGAGAACGAGGAAGAAGACTCGATAAACTTGCGCGAACACGCATCTCCGTACACGTCGGGATTGTGCATCGAGGCAGCATCGGTAGCGACGGCGGCGAACAAAGCAAGAGCTTGGGGAGGAGATGGAGGCGCCGAGCCGAGGAACGTCGTCGTTTCTTGTGTCGTCGATTCGATTTAGCTTCAACAGCACGTCGATATTCCTCCGCGACATTCCTCTCCGATGTATGTACATGCTTATAATGCACACGCACGAATGTGCGAGCGCACGTTCAGGTGACAGGGGGGTGGGAAGGGGCGCGGGGGGGGGGGGGGGAAGAAATAGCGCGCGGCAGGAAGAATGAGGGTAGGGAAACGCTTGCGCCCCTCCCGGAGAAAGAGGTTTTTGTTGGCGTGAAGTCGGAACGGGGAAGGAAGAAAACGTGTAAGCCCGAAAGTTCTTCTTGCGAACGTATAGGAGAACGTTGTTGCCGAGAGGGAAGACTGAAACCGTGGAAAGATGCGACAGGTGAAGATCGGAACGCTGATCCGGATCGCAGGGGGTTGAAAGAGCAATCCGCGTGAATCGTCGCGTCGTCGCGAAGTAACGTATCGTCGAGTTATTCGTTACGATCGCAGCGAGCTATACATATATAGTAAGCAAAGTCTTCCTTAATGTCGTCTTTTTTCTTTTCCTTTTCGATTTATATTTGGCTTCCCCCATGCATCGTGCAAAGAGGCAAAACTCGAAGACGGTCCGGAATAACCCGTAAAACCGGTGCAGTGTTTCAACTTTCACGATACCCTTTTTTTTTTCGCGTTCGTAACTCATTCGCTCGCGAGAGGCCAGGGTCCTTCGGATCCGAGTGTAAAGCATCGACGGGAAAACAATGACGACGTTTTGTCCCGGCGGGGTAAACATCGAACTTGAATACGTCGGGATCCATTCTTCTCGCGATCGTGCGAGTTAGCGAACAATGACGCCGCGGTTCAGCGTTCGTTCAAGTTTCTACGACTTCTGCATCGGCGTGACGGAAGTCGCACCAGCCGAGCTCCTTCCTCGGTCTTCATCAGTAATCGATAAATAACAGTTTTCTCCAGGGGCGGCAAAATACAGTTGAAGAAACAACTTTTATTCTCGATTCTGAAATCGTACTTTTTTTTTACGATATCGATATTCCGAATACAATTACTTTTATTTGTTTTATGATCGAAAAGCGGAAGAAGGCTCTCGTACATATAAAATGCAATATAAGACATTGCCTCTTTCTTCATCTCTTTTCCGTCATAGAGATAATTGATTTATTTTTTAAGGATATCGATTGTTATTTATAATAGACTTTATATTTTCTACGGCCGCGAGAAACGTTACGTTCTGCGATTTTCTTCCTTTCCCCGATTTCCCACGCGTGCACTCAGTGTCTTCTTTCGCCGTGATGTGTGATGCACGTTCGCGCGAAGCAAGACATGCCCGTTAGAAAATCCGGAGAGAGAGAGAGAGAGAGATTTCATCTCGAAATATTGTTCTATAAAGGCGTATTAATATTATATATATATATATAATTATATATTTACGCTGGATTCCGGCGTAAGAGAGAGAAATCGTAACCTTATCACATAAGTAGACTAGCTAGGGGGCCGCGAATCAGCGCGAATGAAACAAATGAACCGAAAGAACGCTGATCTTGAGGGAGAGAGGAGAGAAAACGTATATAATACAAAATATAAAATGACGATAAATATCACCGAGATGATGAGAGAATTTACACGAGATATGATATAAACGCGGCGAACGCATAACGAAGTTTTTTATACTCGTATATAACAAATCTCAATTATATTTTGTTTTTATGATAATAATGTAAACGCCTGTGTGTATATACGTACGAGGAGAGAGACATGTATATGTATATGTATGCATATATGCGAGAGAAGAGGGTGTAACGATTTCGCTCGAAGGGGAGCATAATAGTTATCGGCGGATTGATTGGCGACAGTTAGACGTGCGGAGCGAAGTAATGGTCGGAAATGGTACGTCGGGAGTTTCGAGGGAAGCTGCGAAAGCGATCGATTCTCTCGCGCGCGAGAGGAACAGGAAGCCTTAACGCGGAGGCTTTTACGCCCGGCTATTTGACTTTCGACCGTCTTACTTGATTCGCGAAGAACCGAGCAAACGCCGAAATTCGCACATTCTATAGGCTGGTAAACACTAATTAATTACTACACTACGACAAATGTATATGACAAATTTATATGCATACGATAAGAAATTATATTTAATTAAAGATAGACTCTTCAGGGGGAGAAAGTTTTGGGAGTGTAAAGCAGGAGCGATCGCGAGAGAGGAGAGATATCGTGAGGTATTCTTGGTGCGAACGAAAGCTGCCGAGAGAGAGAAAGAGAGAGAGAAAGAGAGACGAGAGAGAGGAATCGTTTTATATCTGCTCTTCGAAACACAAATGAAAAAAAAAAAAAAGAAACAATCGATCCGCTGGATCGCGTGTGTAGGTTTACACAATCGATAGGGAATAAGTTTATACGTTGTTTCAGTCTTCGTAAATGCGCGACCCTTCGTAAATACTTTTAATTGTTGCGTTAATATCCTTTAATCTAATAATTATTCATTTTCCCCGTGAAGGACCCCCCTCCATCGATCGAGTCTTTCGTCATTAAATGCATTCTTCATGATAGCTCTTTCGTGTGCACGCTTAATTGCATCTTCGAAGCTATTCTCTACGATTACGCGTGCACTTTGCATATATACATATATATATTCGCGTCTGCGAATCTCATTTCTTTCCACAGTAAAAAAAAAAAAACGTTTTAACGATACATTCTCGCGTCCAGAAAAAAAAAACAAAAATATTCCGAACAATATTTTTTTACAAGGTATACATATATACGTCGAAAATATTAATGTTAAGGCACGCTTGCGGACCTAATTTCCTCGAAAATGCCTCGTGGACTGGTTGCTCACTTAATAGAAGATTTGCTGTCCGGGAAGTCATTCCCGGAGTCTAATTTCTGAAAAGTCCGCGATCAGTCTCAAGACCTCGAAAATTTCACTACATATGCTAAAATAATAAATACGTGGCAATGCTTGAAAGACATTTTACCGTCCAGGAGAGGCTTACACCAACTTTCCCGACCAACGACACGATATGATCTATCGAATATTCATACCGAAATATATTGCGAAATGAAAAATGCACTTTTGAACTAGTCATGATGATGGGACAGGATCCTTCACGAACTTCCCTTTTTGTACTATTTAGATAATGTCATATTCTTTTTTTTAAACTTAGTTAATACATTAATCGTTTAATCGATACACTTTGACGATAGTATAATTATTTAAACGAAATTTAGGAATATAACAAAGTACTCTAACGACAAAATAAGTATAAGAGCCTACGGATATAAAATAATAATTAAAAAAAAACATTAAACGAGTGATTAAAGAGTTAAGCAAGTAAATGTTCCTGTACAGCATTTAAGAATCAAAGGACACTCTTATCAAAGCAAAAGGAAAAAAAAACAGATTATACACCTTTGGTATTAGAAGGGAAAGATCCGAGGCTGCCAGTAGGCGCGAATATAGCTGGAAGTTCAACTTTGTAAATTACTCGTGTACATAAAAAATAGTGATTATTGCGTGAGAAGTAACTCTCGAGATTTTAGCGTAGACAGAAGATAAAACGTACTGAGGATTCTAGAGAACGTCATCGGTTTTCGATTCGTTCGTTAAGTAAATCTATGGACGAGTGGCAAGGGCGTTTTACAACGCGTGTTACAGTAAATCCGTTTTATAACTTACATGTACTCCTTTGCGACGAACCGTTTTAAATTCCAACGTTCGACCTTTCAAACGTTTTCTTCCTTTCATTAGTAATAACTTCTCTCTCTCGACACTGTGATTCTAGTCATGTGTTCGAAAAATCATTTAAATAATATACTTTCATCTTTTTGATACTGTCGCTTCTTAATATTCACGATAATTCGTAATACGTGTTCATGATTTTTTTTATTTACCTTTCTCGTCTTTAAAGTAAACATTGAGTATGTGATAGACACCGCTGCAAACGCAACTCAAGAGGGATATACATGTAAATTCATCGAAACGAATGGGGGAAAAGAATATAGGAACGAGTTCCTCCGTGCCCATACTTAGTATGTACATAGATTTAATTAGGTACGCATAGGGTGAGAAAGAAAGAGAGATACATACGTTATATTATATAAAATTAAGTACAATAATCTATGAATGTCCATTTAAGTGATTCAATGACACCACGAAGAGGAGAGCGAAATATTTTCAATTGTGATTCCACTTAGAGTATACTCGATACTTTCTCTTAGAGACCCGCGGGGGCCCGCACTCCTCGTCTTCGGGATATATTTCTTCTTCTTCTTTCGATATCGGTAAATCGCAATCTAGATCCGTTTTACTACGTCTTCGTATGGAGAGAGACACCAAGAGCAGGAACGACATTCAGATTCGTCCCACTCGCTGCCAGCCGCTCAGCCTGTTTTAGACGAGCAAAGTCCTTCGAGAAGTTATCGACAACTCCTCCTTTCGTGTCGTCTCGCGATGGTACGGTTCGTTAAAGCTCAGGTATGCCCTGATCCCGAGACGCGCTCGAAGAACGAGAGAAAAACGACCGGGATGCCTTCGGCTTATTTTCGAACGGATTTTCCTCTCTAATCGCTAAAACGATGAATTAGTTTTTAGGTAAAAACGAAACGGTCACATACAGACAACGCATCTAAGAGCGCGAAATTTAACGTCGGACAGTACTACCCGTCTTTCCCTTTAATACCAAAACCCTCTAGTGAAATACACGATATATGAAACGAATATTATAATTAATAATATAATTATGCGAACAAAAACGAGAAGGGAAAAAAACGATGGACAAAAAAAAACGAAAGAAAGATCGAAGCGCTACTCCGACTTACGGACGCAGATACCACGAGAGTCATTCTAAAAAAAAAAAAGCGATAACTAAAAAAAAAAACAATGAGAAGATAAAAAGACAATGAAAACACGGCGAAAACGTTGTGACGAATCCACTGGAGTTTGAGCTTCCCAACTTGAGTCAAGGGTTTTAGCTGCTGCAGCAAGCAATCACAAAGCAAAAAACAATTATTTGTAATCAAGTAAAAAGTTTGCCCGCGCGCGAGTTTGCTACCCGCCGCCGCGTCGTTCGACGTACCTCCCGTGACTTTGCACGTCTCCGAGAGGAAAACGACGGAAA